CATACAACCATGAGTTTTTCTTCGAACATAAACTTCATCCTGCATCGACCGTCGCGCAGATTATCAAGAGTCGCCTTGTCTGCTGCCTACAGCAGGGCGGATAAGCGAAAACATGCTACTGCTGGCGTCTCCCTTCTTTCTTTTCCACCTGTTTCTCTTACTCCTAACCCAACCCTCATTATTAACCTACCTTCTATAATTCCCAGCTTAATTGACAGCAACCGAAGTACCACTGGAGTAGAACCATCTGCAGCCACCATCCCACAACACCAATCGGACGCCTATCGACAACAGTCCCTTATAAGGCCACCCTGTCCAGTTTCCATGGCGACGTTCGACGTTCACACTCTAAGACAAACAGGTCAGCAGGCTGCACTCGCACACACCTTGGACACACTGGGTATTGATGTGTGTTTTGTGTCCGAAACTAGGATCAATGACCCTAATGATGTTGTTGAATTAACTGCACTTGACTTATCCTCTCGTTATTGGTTGCACGCATCCGGAGACGTCGATGCAGCACTCACGGGTGTAGATATCATTTTAAGCTCCAAGGCTGAGCCCTCGTTGGTGGATTTGCGTTCGGTGAACAGCCGTTTATGTGCGGCCCATTTGACGACATAAGATAGGTTGATTCACGAAGTAGTACAAAATATTGTTTGTGACTTCCGTTTATGCTCCCACTGACAGCAGTTCAAATGCTGTCAATGACACATTCTACCACGAACTGAACGCCCTACTACGCAGTGCTGCTAGTTCAGATATTGTAGTACTTGCAGGGAATATGAACGCACAAGTAAAGTGTCTGAGCTCTTCAGAAGCTCAGCTGGGTGATAATTATGGGCTTAACTCCGAACGGACTGAACGGCGAGCTCCTGCTGCAACTTTGTGCGGAGCACCAGTTGTTTTTTAGTAGCACTGCTTTTAGACACAGTGGGCGCCGAAGTGCCACTTGGCGTCTCACTGTAACTGGCCATCGATGGATCTAAATTGACCACGTAGCCATTAGTTACAGGTGGCGTGGTTCCATCCTGTATTGCCGCTCGTACTGGAATACCTGCGTCGACTCTGATCATGCCTTGGTACGCTGTCATTTCTCCATGAACTTTACCGGCTTTCACACCAAGCGTCCCCTCCCATTGGCAACTGAGAAATTGTCTCAGCCCTCGGTCAGGCAAGCCTATCAAGACGCACTGCATTCCGAACTTTCGCTGTTTTGTTCTAATGACACTGAGCTTCTGTGGAATAGGATCTGGGCCGCCATGCACCTCGCAGGAGCATCTGCTTGTGGCACTATCAATGGTCACCGCACTAGTCACTGGATATCCGAGAGGCCGGTGAACCTGTTGGAATATAGAAGAAACCTCCCGGCTGGCCCTGAGCACAATGTGACCAGACGGGCTATTAGGCGCGAACTAAAGTGGAGTCTACCTGCTAACAAAAAAACCTGGTAGACCAGTAGCGCTAAAGAACTGGAGGAGACCGAAGTAGTAGGTAACTACCGCAAGCTCTTCCAGCTGATCCTCACCACTGGTCCCAGGAAACCAGGCATCAGTGAGACAATAAGATACCGTGCGGGTGCACTGATACACAATAAGGTGCGCCGTATGGCTCGTTGGGTGGAACACTTTTGAGATCAGTTTAGTTTGTCTCCTGCTCCTGGACCTCTTCCTACTCAGGTGATGCGGGACGAGCCATGGACGGTTAATTTAGATCCTCCGTGGGAGTTTGAGTTCCGAAACGCGGTCACATCCCTCAATCGTTTTCGTGCCACTGGCCTAGATACCCTCCCACCTGCACTATTTAAGGATGGAGGTGAGGTCCTCTGCAAAGCACTGACATCCCTCTTCCAACATATCTGAAAGGAAGAGTGTCCCGGCTGATTGGAACTAATCGATTATAGTGGCAATATACAAGAAGGGCAGTCGCACAGACTGTTCTAACAACAGGGGCATTGGCCTAACGCCAGTTGTGCCGAAATTACTGGCGTCGATTCTCGTTCGTCGCCTCACTATGGAATGGGAATCTCGGATTAGGGAAGATCAGGCAGGTTCCCGCCCAGCGCATGACTATATAGACCATATATTCACTGCGGCAGGTGCTAGAGCAGCACTACGCATACCGCAGACCGACAACAGCTGTGTTCCTCGATTTCAAGAGTGCGTTCGATTCAGTCGATCGATCGATTCTGTTCGAATTACTTGCGCGGAAAGGTGTTCCCACAAAATGTGTGAATATCCTTCGTGCTCAATACTCGAACACTACAGGCCGCGTCAGGGTCTATGGTGTCCTATCGGATAGCTTTTCGACTACAAGTGGCGTTCGTCGGAGTTGCCCGATTTCCCCGTTTTTGTTCAATTTCGTCATGGATTCTATCATGGAGTGTTCCCTTGCGGAATCTCACGATGTAGGTGTTGAAGTGCTACATGGTGAAAGGTTAGTTGATCTAGATTATGCGGACGATATCGTCTTGCTTTTCGACGATGTTGGGGCGGCACAATCAACCCTGAATAGCCTGTCCAGAGTGGTCCCATTATTTGGTATGCACTTTGCACCTTTAAAGTGCAAAGTGTTGCTGCCGGACCACCAGCCATTTGATGACCCCTTGACGCTTGCTAACGAGGAACTCGAGGTGGTTGATCAATTCACTTATCTTGGCAGCTGCATCAGCAATGATGGGCGCATAGAAACTGACGTGAGCTCACGCATTGCAAAGGCCAGAGCGGCCTTCTTGAACATGCGGCACCTTTGGCGACAGAAGGGAGTATCCTTTTGTCTGATGGCCTTGTATACCAGGCCACAGTGAGGGCCGTTCTGCTATATGGTAGTGAGACTTGTCCGCTTCGGTCTGAAGATCTGAGGCGCTTTCAAGTCTTTGATCATCGTTGTTTGCGAAGCATTGCTGGTGTCGGATGGCACCAGCGTATTCGCAATGTTGATGTGCGTAGGCGAGTATTAGGTAGTGATAAACATGCTAGCTCCCTAGAACAACAGATAGCGCTGAATAAGTTGCCTTGGCTCGGGCATGTGCGGTGTGTGCCTGGTCATCACTTACCTAGGAGGGCCTTGTTTAGTCTGCCAGGTGTAGGGTGGCGCAAGGCTCGAGATGGACAGAAGTTGACTTGGCAGCGGAAAATTAAGTTACTGACGACCAAATTGGGTGCCGTTGGTCCGTCTCGCCTTCCGGGTTGGAGTCCACGTGACTCGCCTTGTGCTTGGCTCCAGACTTTACAAGACAAGGCTCGCAACCGACACCAGTGGCGCTTCTGCTGTCGTCTCCTAATCGGATTGTCTGTTTAAAGTGTGTTTGGTGCTGAGTTATCTGCGGGGTAATGGCTGATAATGACGCGGGGCAGTGAATGCCGCAAGGAAACTGTCTCGCTGTGCCTTATCTTTGCATGATAGCCAGCTGTTTGTGACAGTATGTTGTTAACACAAGGTGTAGGCGCCTTGACCCTGAATGTTTGCTTAGGGCATTAATGTTTTCAGGTAAGTCCCCTTTCTCTCTTTTTTCCTATTTATTTCATAGGTCCTCATGGTTGTATGGTAGCGAAACATCAGTTCAAATGGCTGATATACTGCTGTTGTTGATTGATTGTTGATTGTCAACGTGTGCGTTGGACGTGACGCATCAGCGTGGAAAGACGACAGCGGTGCACATTGCATTGGCTCAGGCGGTGGGAACGGTGACCGGCTGTTCTCACTGTCTGTCACTCACTGCCTGAGGGTCACCCGATTTGCACTGGGTGCGAGTGATATACCTACTTGGAGACACCGACGGAGTGGTCACGCTCACCTGCTCGACTGTCATCGTACACCAGTGTGAGACGTGTATTGCCTGAAGCTGTTTGTAACACTGCTCACAATTTGGTGCAGGCCAAATTGCACATATATTTTATTGGATCTATGTATTGCTCACCTGCCGTAAACCGTCGTAGATTTACTGTTCTCTCCATGGATGCCAATGAGAATAATATAGAACTACTCGCTTTGGCTATATAGAATCTGTCGCCCCGTCGGCGGCATGTGGCACTACATCCGTGAACAGGTGACGGCTGCAGTCGAGGAGACCAGCGGGCGCGCAAACTGTGAATGTCTTATGGGCTTGATGACAATAGTGGGACAATCGTCGCATTGGTGTAGAAGAATGTAGCATTCGCTGCACATGTGACGGACCCTACCGAGTCGGAGGAGAGTCAATTTCGCAAATTTCGACCGCGAGTGACTAGAGAGCTTCGTCACATCAGCTATGCTTGGTGGACGGAGAAGGCAGAGCAAATGAAATACTACGTCGAAAGCCGTCAACATAAGGAATTTTTTGACTCTTACAAGGCGGTGTATGGCCATATATTGTAGCCGCTGAGGACGCTGCTGGATGATACTACTGGCGCTACCTCTACACAGATTGCAGAAATAATGCTGATCTGGCGAAAGCACTTCGACTGTCGCTTGAACAACTGTTCTGAGGTTGACTGGGATAAGTTGCACGGGCTGTGATAACAGGAGATAAAGATGTGTCTTGCCGCCACACCGGCACTGGATAAGACGCAGATAGCATTTGTTTACCATCGCAATGAGGCTGGATCTTACCGTTTTACGATGGTTTACATGCCTCAGCGATCCATTGAGCTATGCTGGGTGGTGGTTTTTGCACCCTCAGTGGGTGGGACTTTCTCTCTACGATGTTTGTACGTAAGTTTATTTTTTGAGGCAGACTTTTTCTGTGTACTCACTTAAAATATCTCTTCAGTATAGCACATTCGTCACATTTAGTGGAATTCTGTCAGTGCAGCATTTAGCTGATTTTTCTACCGAGCCCGTTTGATTTTAGACATAGCAGTTGTATGGAACTATTTTTCACTCCAATGTTTACATCCTTGCACTTATCATGCTTGTTCTTGATTTACTAAAGACCCAGTTTCAATGTTTAGTTCTTTATTATATTGCGCACGTTCTGTTTTTCCTTTGTTTCTTTTACTTATCCTGGTTTCTTTTCCACAGCTGCGCATGCCAATAACTCGTGATGTCTAACAGGCATGTCGCTCGAACTGATATAGCAGAGATGGGAAGAGCTGCAGAGGAAGTACGTAATCGTTCTTTGCTCTCATGTTTGACTTGTGCAGATTGAAATCCAGAGGACCGCTAGCAGACAGCTTATTCAAGAGGGCCGACTAATTCGCTCCAAGGAACTGGAAAGACGGCGAAATGAAGTAGATCACTGTTTTTCACTTGTTTAACTCTTTCTGATTCTAGGAAGAGTATGACAGCTCTACTAAGGCAAGCAAGTTAAACACTTTCAATGGTTCTATTGCGCAACTTTTATTTGATTTCCACACTATTGTTCTGCCATTTACTCTTGTGCTCCGGATTTCGCGTTGTTGATGTTACAACCCAAAAAGTCGATTGTAATTGTCCTGTTCAGTCCGGCGGCATGTCAGCTCAAGCTCAAACCGGTGAAACCTAGTGGTCACTTTTCGGTATCTTGACCACTGTCTTTTTGCCTTACTACTGGATACTTGAACGACCGCCTATAATGGCCAGCTTATACATGCTGCTTTTTGCGTTGCAATAGCTGCGATTGCTCATTGTTTCATATCTACAACAATTTTGTCGTCCCTGCTATTTTCTTTTTTGCGATCACATTTTGTTTCCTTTTTCATCCGTTCCCCCTTTTGTGACCATAAGTGCTACGTTCGATTGTTCTATGGGTTTTTGATGACTTCATGCCCATCGATTGTTGATTGAGTGTTAAGGCTTGCAGTCAAGAGGTCACTAGTTCGATCAGTCTGCGTGAGTGCGGACGGCTCCGCAGTATCGCAGACTCGTACGCGGGTGGCGACGGTTATGATGTGGCAACGAAGTTTCGGTTTGAAGTTCCGACTGCGTACACCTTTATTTGTATACAGGCATGTGTCATTGTGTGAAAAAGGAAACCGGACTTTTGATATAGTGCGCCAACCGGAAGAGGGAGGACGGTGTAGTCACTGAGGACTTGTTTAGACAGCAAACTGCCATTTGTCGCTTTTCGTTCTTTCCCCTACTTGGCTTGCTCTCAATAGCTGCAGCGCGCTCCCTCTGCCATTTGACACGCTATTTCACAAGTTCGTGTTTTTCGTACACACTAACATATATATATATATATATATATATATATATATATATACATATGGGTACAGGACCTTTGGGTCTCCAAATAATTCTACTCTGTCATTTTGTTGACACTTATGGACTGACTCCAACCTTTATCAGCCCCCGCTTCTGCGCGTTGGCTCACAGAATTTTTGAAAATTACCATTCGTCGCGTAGTTATGCGCTGTCTGCTCCTCGCATACTGTTACATGCCTCAGTCGGTTGCATCATTCTAATGTTACTACTGTGCTCTACATCAGGTTACTATTTGGTACCATGAGCATCGCTGTCTATCTGAAGAAGGCTGAATCACCATTATCCTTATCATTATCAGTTCCTTGATCTGATGCTTTGCTATCATACAACTTATGGAGTGGGGACTAATAAGCGGAGAAGTGGGTCTCCAGTGTAATAGATGAACATCTTTAGCAAATATTTGCGGCCAACACGTCTACAGCTTGATAACAGTACAGTCGCAAACAGCTGGCTATCGTGTGGAGAGCAGGCTATGTCGGCGGAATAGCTTTCTTTCGGCGTTTACCGTCCGGAGTCATGATCAATCGTTAACCCGCAGATTATTCAGCATCACTCTTCAAGCAGTTAATCCGACTAGAAGACTAGCAAACGCGACTCTAGGACCCTATGCGAGGTATGCTTTGTGAAATGTAGAGCCAAGCACACGGTGATCTGCATTGGCTGTAGCCTGTGAGGTGAGACGCACCAGCAGCATCCAGTCTGGCCGTCAGTGGCTTCACTTCCCTGGTCTGCATGATCACACATCAAACGCGCAAAGCAAGACAACGTTGGATAATCACTTTGTGGGTATGCGTAGCACGTGCGGAAATCAGCACAACCTATCAATGTAGCGTTTTATGAAACCGATATGCTCCTCGCAACCAAGCATTCGCCTACGGATATCATTGTTGCGGACTCGCCGGTTCCAAACGACACCAGCGATGCACCGTAGATCTCGACGAACATTGGCTTGAAGGTGTCTTGGAACCTCAGGACCAAGGAATCGTGCTTCACTCCCAGTGGAGAATGGACCTCACCGTGGCCTTGTATACACAGCCTCTCTGATCTGCATACATCCTCTTCTTATGCCACAGCTGTTGCGAATTCATAAAGGCAGTTCTCTGTATTTCACGGCATGTGAGGTAACTCCAGCAGGTTTGTTCCCGCTGTTGTTAATACAAGGAGGTAAATCCAAAACGCTACAGTGGTCTACTTTTCATTGTGCTTCTTCTCTTTGATTGCGGACGTGTTTCTCAAATGGGAGCACTTACTCCATATTACGGAGACTTTTGGTACTGGGTGTCCAGGTAACTTCGTTCAACTGGTTGAAGTAGTGACACCGGAATTGATTAATGTCCAATAAATACACTATGTTACACGAACAGCTGCGGTATGCTTGTTTCACTAAGGGCAACAATTACGTGTTAAACAATAAATCTTCAACAGACTTGCTTATTGAACGGTAATGGGCTGCCCTTGTACTCATTCGCAAAGTCATTCGAGTCAACCTCCGACGACGCTGGGATCCCATTAATAGACTGAAGCTGAGACGTTCGCTGGAGTTTATCTTTTCTTCCCCCTCTCCAGAATTTCACCATACCGACATCGTTTAGTTTCCTGTTTATGGACAGTCCTTCGTGCCCGGGAATCCATAGTTCTATAAATTTACAGCGATCACTTCCATCTGACAATTTGTAATGTGCGGTAAGGAGATGAGAACTGGTGTGTGCATACATCTCATATTGTACCCTAAGTACAATTTTCAATCACCGATAAGCACTATTGTTTGGTATCGCGACGAGTCTGGAACGCAACGTGTTGTGATGATTTTCGTATCTCCTTATCCCATTGACCTATGCTGAGCGACACTCTGAGGGCTTTCAGAACCACTCATACCGAACAAGTCAAGTGTTAGAGCACATACTAACTCAGTCTCATGATCCGATTCTCTTCGGAGTTTAGGTTGAGGTCCATGGACCTCCTCTTAAAACTTAGCCATGGGAGACAATAGGTCTACGTGTTATAAGCTCATAGCTCGGTTGGCGTAAAGCACGGGCGCCACGCATCGTCTCTGACGGCTGGAAGGCCCCTTTGGGTGCTCAGTGGTTTGCTGCCTCCCACCTCAAGTAAAGCAATCCCTGATCAAATTTATGCAAACCCGCCAATTCCCACTTGCGGCTGGCCGTGGTCGTAGGTGCCTGAGACACTACAGCCCTAAAACACTTGTGCGTTATTTTAAGTTTTCAATCAGATCGCAACGAGTCTCTATAATCACTGTCCCAAACTGGACTTGCTCACCAATGCCTTGTTGCTTAGGCTATTGTGCCAAAGGCTCCGGGTGGAGTCCCTCAAGCGAATCTCCATAACCCCTACTGCCTTGTGAGTCCGACTTTTGAGTTAGGGCACCTCTAACAAAACCCCTCTTGAAATGGTCAGTCGGCTAGTATTATCTGCCCTATCGACCCTGTCGACAACACAGTTTTTTCTTGTTTTTCATCACCCTGTATTCCCTTCAATTGAAAAAGATTGTCGCTAAACTCGCGGCCGTTGCCATCGATACATGTAATTCGTCCATCACATCTAGTATTTTTTCACATCGGTTCTTTTAACTTCCGCTTTCTGGGTTAGATCGGCCAACAGACAGCACTAACTGTCACTCTTCACCCTCTTACTATTGATGTGTGCTGTCCCCGAAACGTGCATCCAAGATAGCAGCGTTGTGACAAGTCTTCGACTCCCTATTTCTGTACCTTAAAACAATGAATACACTCTTTACATCTTCGCTGATACTGAGTCATAGCCTCAAGGTATTTGAGGTGCTAGTATCGCCCTTAGCAAACATACTGAATTCACTCTGTCGACTTGATTTTCGGTGAATACCCGCATATATGCGGTTTAACTTTGAACCTCTATTGGGGTAATAATCACCGCCTGAAGGCGAAGTACCTTTCAACCTCCTCCTGTAGTTCATAGGGTATCAAAGACGATTCATATCACCATCTTTCGTTTCTGTATGACGAAGAGTATTGATGCCGTGATTGTTGCTGGTGGCTCAAATGTCCATGTGTGTCGTCTTTCAGACTCAACATAACACCCGGGAAAGTATGTGTAGGGGAAAAAAGAAGGGATGCGTCAGCAGTAGCATGTCTTCGTGTATACGCACCGCTGCATACAGCGGATACGGCAACCCTTTTCGCTTCCCCATTCCTGTGCGACGGCCGATACCGTATGATATTCTCAGTATTAGTGTATTTCATGGTTTTGTTTTGAACTGCTGTACTGCCAGGTCGTCCATATTCGTACTGGAGAACGACTGGGGTCCTCAGCTAAGGCCTTCGATCAAATGTACTCCTGACAGGCAGCGTGCCGTGGGCCATGTGTCAGTGAACTGACTCAGGCGGAATTGTGTCTCCATGCGTTTGCTAGAAGTAGGGTGTAACCGAACTCCCACCCGTGGTCGCCACTATGAGGCGTCCAGGACATGAATCAACGGCACAACATAAGCAGCAGTGGGTCAACGATCTGTTAGGATCTAACCACATCCATATCTAATCAACGGTCCATGAAATAGAAAAAGTATGGAATTCAAAGGGGAGTACAGTGTGAGCGAAATTTGAACGAAACCTTTTTCGTTCGTTTTCTATATGCCGGTTTTTTCCTTTTTGTCACTGACATGGTATGGCGTTAAACATCAGGGTCAAGACAATTCTACACACCGTTCTTTCACTGGTGCCCGTTGTGGGCAATGTCCTCAACCGTGTCAACCGAGTGGCAATCCTTTTCTTTGGGTCCCCATCCAGGAAAACGTAAGGCCCTAACGGCAGCTGGGCATGATGTCAACGAATTTATCTGCTGTCGCCAAGTGGTAGGTTGACCACCTCGTCTTTACCTCTCGCCCGGTCCTGCTCGACCGAATAGGGCACGGTGCGACAAACACTCAAGTGCTATGCGTTGTACATGACCAAACCACACAAAAATGGCGCAATAAAACCAGCTTATTGCAAGGAATACTCTAATTTTTCACGACGCGATGCCTAACGCAATCACTTTGAACTCGGAGTTGCCAACACACACGAGCATGCCTCCTCAAACAACCGTTCTCTAAGACGGAAGCGGTGCATGTCTTCAATGCT